TATTGCAGTACCGTGCATTGCGCTCAGGAAGTGCATTTGGGTGCCATTCACATGAATGGCAACTCAAAGCACCTGTAATGCACGGTAGTTGCATTGTGCGATAATGCATAGGTGTGAATGGGCACTTACTATTTATATAACTTAAAATGTATTTGTCCCTTGGTCTAATCCCAGAAAAATGTTATTCATGTAGATCAATGAGTGGTTAAATGATGATGGTAAGAGTTGAGTTCTCCAGTTGCAAAATACCTTACCTTCAAATCTTGGAACATAGGAACAGTGTCTGTAGTGTAACAGTCACAAGATCCATTCATATCCTGAACCAGACTTAAAATGGACCTTTACCCCCTTTTGACAAAAGATCACATCAGCATACAGCTGTGCATGCTGATATGAAATCCTCTTACATTCATTAGCTAAACAAACATATATTTTTATTTTACTCACAATTTTTTTTCCACTTCCTGGTCCGCTTTGGCACAAATTATGTAATAGTGCCCAAGCATTGCATGCTGGGAAGGTTACATCAGCAGATCATTGCTGGGAAATCTCATTTGTAATCTCACAAGATCTCAGTGAAAGGCGTTTTCTTCCCCTTGGATGTGCATGGTCACATGTCTTAGTCATATGTGCCAGAGTTTGTGTGCTGAAAATGACAGCAACCGGATGCTTTCCGAAATGTTGCTACACTTGGTGATGTAACTTTACACATGGAATAAAAATAACTTTGCTTGGAGAACCTTTGGAGTGCTGGTGACTTGCTATTTAGTTTGAAAAAAATAAAAAGCCTGGAGTTATCTAGAAGTATGTGTTTGTAGATTGCCATTACTAAACATTTCTAAAGGTGTGTTTGTTGTTATTTTGAAGATATGGGTAAAGTTCCTCTGTTACATGAGACTGTTGGAGGTTACTGATATGTTACAGTAGACTAGCTGTGCTATATTGCATAGTGTGACTACATATGAAGATTTCTCCATTCACAAGTTTTGCCTCCAAAATAAAGTTAAAACACAAACTTTAATAAACATCCTATCACAAGTGTGCTTTTTGTTTTCTTTTGTTCAGTGATGCATGTGGAAACCCGTCGGAGTATTTTGCATTTCATGTTATGTGCAGAATATCAGAAGCCGCAAGCAGAATGAGTATGCCATTGCCGCCTGGTAAGTATTGCAGAATAATCAATTGACCTACTGATGAAGGAAGACTATTACTCAATTTCATACTGTAGACCCTGCTAAGCAGTAGGACCCCTATTATGTACTCCTATTTGGTATTATACATGTCAACTGATTTGTAAAACATTGGAACCAAGGATAACAGGTTGTTTACCCATAGCAATCTATCCAACATTATCTTGATTTTCTAATCTGTACTGGTTTTATTACAACTGGAATCTGGTAGGTTGCTATGGACAACATCTCCATTTCTTTTCCTCTATTCAGGATTTTATAAATAACTGTATTTTATGCTGTGCCCTATTGGACTTTAAAGATACCATATACCGTAAATTCCTTAAAACAAAAGTGACAAGTCTAAAGCGTTTTTTTACCATACAGCAGCACAGGCCGAAAAGTAGTGCATGTGAATTTCAAAGCTTTGTATTTGAATTGACTTGTAGTTTGCCCTCTTGACGGTCCTTGTAGGGCATTAGGAATAATGTCTGTGGTCATTGTGTGCAGAAGACCATGTGAGCAAAACAAATCTCCACCAGCACACCCCCTTGCATCCACAGCAATATTACATTTCTGCACTATGAAGTAAGAGTTACTGGGTTGGCCGACATATGATCACTGTGTGTTTCTAAATCCTTTCCCAGACAGGTACTCGCATTACTACTGTCTAACTAGGCTGCTTTTGTAGGAGCCAATTCTTGAACAAAAATAAAGCAAGCAGAAGGTAGAACACATGGGTGACCTTTTCGGGAAAAGAAAACCATACTTCAGCCTCATTACCGTGTTTCCCCGAAAATAAGACAATGTCTTATTTTATTAAGCAGAAAGGCTACCAACAATGAAAACCATTGGATCTAGAAATATATAACCTGCATATGCTTCTAATGTTAAGGTTTAGCTTGGCTCGACCATCTTTCTTGTTGATTTGATGAGCAACCTCAGTAGCTATTAAAGGTTAAAGCAGAGGGCAAAAACTAAGTTTGAAGTTTTCATGTATATATTTATCTGACTTTATCTCTAAGTTTACTGATATTTCACTGAAAGTAACCACTGTGTATTTCTTCATTATATGCTTAGAATAGATGTATTTTGCCGTGTAAAAATCTGTATTGCAACTTCCTGTTATGCTAACCTCAACCTAATCATGTTGACTGCATAGCAGAAAATGTCTTTTTTGCAAGAAATATAAAGGCAACTCATCCTGTATTTATTGCTATAGGTTTTCAGACACTGCATTTGGTTTTAGCTATGCGATGCCTGCCCCTTGGCAATTTCCTGCATTACATAGACAGTGGAGCTTTGCCATTGACAGAGGCATTTGTTGTTAAACTCCTTAAAGGTAAGCTGACCTTTTTTAAATTCCTCATCAGTGTTCAACTCTGAACCTGAATCTTAGTAGGTTAGTGCCTGCAAGGGATGCTTATTCAGATGGACGGCTGAGGGATTCGCAAACAGGGCTCTGGGAGCAAATAATGACACTTCACGTTTGGATATCACTAAATGCTCAGTTTATTCAATGGACAAACAAGTGTATATATTTGACTTGTGACAGTTTACTGTGGAAATGCTATATGCAAGCATGAGTCATCATGTTACAGACAATATTTATTAGCTCAACTTTGTGGGTGCGATTTACTTAAGCTCTATATAGAATGTGTGAAGTTTTAGCTTACAGAAAAGAGTAAGTTTAACAATGGAAGAATACAGAATGCATTGAAGAACTGACTATAATATTTTATGTTAAAGAAGACCTCTGTCAATATAAAGAACCTGTATTCAGGAAAACCTGTACTCAAGTGAACCTTCCAGTGCCAACACCTGGTTTATAGAGCACTATAAATTTCAGTATAAAAGGACAGACTTGGTACAATCCTTTTTCTCAAAAGTATTGGTGTGAAGAAAATGGTACTGGTCTTCTTTTTAGACATACATGTAAAAGAGACCATGTTGCAGGACATTTATTTAATGGGTTGTTAATAGGGATGTCCCGATACCACTTTTTCAGGACCAAGTACTTCCCCTCATGTACTTGCCGATACCAATTACCGATACTTTTTAAAAAAGGGACAGGTGAATTTAAATGATCCATAGTACGACTACATGTTATGTACTATGGATCATGATTTAACTATTCATGTTAGCAGAGTAGAATTGTAAATCTATTGCTGCAGTGTAGTGGAGGTGTGTGCTGTATATATGTACTACATATACATTACACACGTCCAGTACACTATAGCAATAGATTTACAGTCAGCCCTGTCCCAGCTTCCCTCACTCACAGTTTCACTCCGATCTCTGTTGCCTCACGTGGTGCCTTTCGTAGTCGCGCTGGGCAGGATCGCTGCATCGCGTCTCGGTGCTCAGCTTGTGGGAGGCGCTCACAATTCTGCCCTGCTAACATGAGTAGGTTAAGTCATGATCCATAGTACATATACAGTACACATGCAGTGTACGGGACATGTGTACAGATAGAATGCACTGCAGCAATAGATATACAATTCTGCACTGCTAACATGAATGGGTTAAATGATCCGTAGTACAGGGCTACATATGTACTATGGATCATTTAACCCATTCATATTAGCAGGGGATAATTGTAAATCTATTGATGCAGTGAATTCTATATGTAGTATATAGTACATGTACAGTACATATAGAGTGCCTGCAACAATACATTTACAATTATACTCTGCTAACATGAATGGGTTAAATGATCCATAGTACAGAGCTACATACAGATCATTTAATCCATTCATGTTAGCAGAGGATAATTGTAAATCTATTGTGTCCAGTGTATAAGCAGTGTGTACTCTAATATGTATTACATCCACTTGCCTTGACTTATTTTTGTTACAGAATTACCATGACCTGGATGAATAAGAACCTTCACAGACATCTCAGAAGCAGTTAAGCGGTTAGGCAGAATGGTTGTAGTGGGTAATCGACCCTGTCTCTGTGGCTAATCTATAAATATCTACATTTAATGTATAAATTCTGTCTAATAATAATGTAAAAAATATAGAAAGCAAGCCACATAAATAAAATAATTGAAGGTAAACATGACCATAACACCTCTGTGCTCTCTGACAATATACTACAGTAAACTCCTAGTTATCCGGCACCCACGGGATTTGCGGCAATAGCATATTGCAATAGCAGGCTGGCTATGGAAACCTTGCCCACTGAGCAGAGGAGTGGACCTAAGACAGAGTTCTCTCAGGTTTGCTCCTCTGCACAGTGGGTATGTGCAATAGCCAGCCTGCTATTGGCTATTGCAATCTGAAAAAGCCAATAGCAGGCTGGCTATTGCGCTCTGTTTACATTCTGCTGCCGACTGTGGAATCAAGCCTGGACAAGGACTCTTCCTCTTCTGGGGCAAATTATCAAACTTGAAGCAGACTGAATCTGGAGCAGTTACCCAAAGTAATCGGCATCTCTCCAATTTGTTTGGTTAAGCTTTTAGATTAAAAGAAGCTGGTTGCCATGGGCAACTGCTCCATTTTTGATCAATTCCCCTTTTTAACTGGATATCCCACAAAAAAGTAGCATGAGTAAAAGTTCATGAGAAGTCTAATAGCTCGTTTTGTGTCTCTGGGATGAACTGCCATTTTATTTATTTATACAGAACTGGATGACAATGCAGAAAATGAAAAGCTCAAATATAGCATAATAATACGTCTTCCAGAGGTAAGCATAGTAAACTGATATTATTCTTTTTTAAATAATATAACCTGTAAGAGCCACATTCTTTAAAGTGGGATTCCCGGATGTAGCACCTCCTGATGGATTCAGCGGCCATCGGCAACAGTTTGTTAAAATGAATCAAGAAAAAAAAAAAACCTTTTTAAAAGCTGTGAAAAGTAGCAGTCATGTGACCCCAGAATCCCTTTTGAGGATTCATATGAGTGTTAAGCTAGCCGTGCACAGCTAGATTTCTCTAGTTTAACCCACAGCCAAGAAAATGTATCAAAAATCAATAGACAAAGAAAAAAATCAAAAACTATTTTTGTTCCCTTTCCCCGACCTAAACGATCCCACCCTTGCCCTCTGCAGATGTATACTTCCCAAGATCAGAGTCTGCCTCTCATGTCCATGTTCTTCTCCCTACTGGTAGAAAGCGCCATAGAAGTCTATGGGGCTGTAATGTGCAGGTGCAGCCGGCAGAGAGAATTGCGTTGCTGGGTGTAAACAATGGTGACACCGTGCCTGTCAGATCTTGGTAAGAATGGGAAGAGGGGCAAAAAGGATAAGTGCACTTTGTTTTTATGCACACTTATTCCTTAAGTATATGGACCCAAAATTTTGTGAAAATGTAAACAAAATACCACATCATGCTATTAAATCTAGTTATCCACATTTTTTTTTTTAAACAAGAGATCATGTTCTCCTTGTAACCCTTTAATGGTCTGTGTTATTTTGTGACTGGAGTACTTAGAGGAGTGACTGGAGTATTTTTGGAGAACACTGCATGCTGCAAGCAAAATCTGATTTCCTTGTGCTGTGTGTTATGATCGAACAGTAAAACAAATGGCAAACGCTCTCATCAGTTCATAACTAGCTTAAAGCAAGGTATAAAAACAAAAATTTCCCAGCACACTCCCCAGCCAGCCTGCAAAAAAAATATACTGTCTAACTACTAGGGTTATAACGGAGGTTTTAGTTGCACAACGTTTTAGAAAAATATGTGGAAGCCACACTGCCTCATCAAGGCCCCTCTGTGTAGTGCGGTCCTAACGCTAATCTATGAGAGCCTCCATCTTGGCGCATATATAGCAAAGGATGAATTGGGTGCAGGTTTGCCAGGAAGTAGCCCAACCTCCTTAAAGGCACAGGGACACACCAGAAGCCCAGCACATCACAATGGCAGCTGAACTCTTAAGTGTGTCCCCACACCAAATCCAATAAGAGAAACAAATGGCAAACACGCTCATCAATTCGTAACCAATGTTAAAGTAAGGTGCACATGGAAGGGCTTTACAAAGTACAAAAACAAAAAAATTCCCAGCACACTCGCCAGCCTGCTTCCACAAATTTTGCAAAGGATATGCAACTAAAACCTGCTTTTAACCCTAGTAGTTGGGGTATTTTTTTGCAAGCTGGTTGGTGAGTGTGCTGGGAAATGTCTGTTTTTGTACTCTGTAAAGCCCTCTCATGTACACCTTGCTTTACGCTAGTTATGAATTGATGAGTGCGTTTGCCATTTGTTTCACTTATTGGATTTGGTGTGGGGACACACTGGGAGCTTCAGCTGTCATTGTGATGTGTGGGGCTTCTGGTGTGTCCCTGTGCCTTTTTGAAGGAGGTTGGGCTACCTCCTGGCAAACCTGCACCTAATTCATCCTTTGGTTATATGTATGCTCCAAGATGGAGGCTCTCCTACATTAGAGTTATGATCTAACAGTGGACACACCAAATGCATATGTTCTACCAGGGGCGTCCCGAGGCTGGGTGACACCCGGAGCGGTAACCGAGTGTCACCCCACCGAGACATCACTGCGCGTGCGCGATGACGTCATCGCGCACGCGCGGCAGTATTCTGATACCTGCCGGCGGCCATCTTGGTGATGGACGCCGGCAGAGAGAGGAGGGGACAGTCACCCGGCGGGATAAGGTATGCCGCCGCGTCCCCTCCTCTCCTGATACTGTCGGGCGTCCCATCCTCTCCTGATACTGTCGGTCCATGACCAAGCGCCCGACTTTTCAGAGGGGGGTGACACCAAAATGATTGAGTAATTTTGGTGTCAAAATGAACCAGTGGCGTCACAAGGGGGGTGACGCCACTGGTTCTACTTATCTAGCAAAGTAGATTTTCTTTCATTTAAAGTAGTATTAAACTCAAACTTTTTTTCAATAATAAATCAACATCAAATATACTGTAAATTTACCCAGCAAATTTTTTTTCTCATTTTTTGCCCAAGTATTTAGTCGTCATATTTCCAAACATCTGACTCAAACTCGCTCAGCTTCCTTGAACTTCCTGTCCAGTACAAGATTACAAGGGACCAAGCAGTTTCCAGCAACTGTCCATCTGCAAATTTGGGTAGCATTTGAGAGCAGGAAGGAGGCTAGTGGCTGGTGCGGCTGTGCCTGTGTGTTTGTGGAGACACACAAGGGTGGCTCTAAGAACCTTCAAGGAAAATGAGTCGCCCTAAAACAGGTGGGGCCTGTGCTTAGGGGACCAGCTGATTCTGCAGGAAAACTAACATTTTTAAACGTCAGGGAGCAGCATTCATTGTAAGTGATTTCATCAGCTGAATGATTTAGGGTATATAAAGGCAAAGAAGATTTTGCTGTATACTTCATATTACATATTCTCTAAAACAGATCTGTTTTTTTTTTCTTTTTAATTGTCCCCAATTGGATGCCAGAATAAAGTGAATGTCTGGGACAGGAGTCTTCTGGATTTCCTGTTTTGTCATTTCCTGTAGGGAAATCAAATTTCCAAGGTGTTGAGTGGACTCTCTAACACAGGACGCAATGGAGAACATTCCATATTATCACTCACCATTATTTATCTGATTTACAGAACATTTCTGAAAAGGTCCATCGTTTGTGGGATCATGCCATCAGCAATAACTTTATTGCAATGAAATACGTGAGAAAATTGCTCTTCAGGCTTAATAACAAGGAGGTAAACTGTGAAACTTACAACTATGTGCATATTGTACCATTTTCTGCAACTTAGTTTTGAACTGTTTTGTGTACTTTGTTACAAAAAAAACAAAACCCTCTGTCCCTTGGACTGCATTAACTACATTGCACCTCTGAGGGTCAACTTCCCCCACCAGCAAGAAAGGAAGCTGGATGAAGAATGAGTATATGTAATGACAGCTGGGCACTAGGTCACCTCTTGAGTCAATGCATGTTTGTTCCTGGTATAGTGCATCATACAGAAATTCAGCATGAAATGTACATAAGAGCCAAATCTGTCTTTAGAACTGGTGGGATTTTAGAATAAACCCATCTACTTGATATACATTTAGTGTAGCAATGTCATTTCAATGTTCCTCTTGGTAAAAATGTAAATATAATCATTATATCGATCTAAGAAAGCTCTGAAAACTATTCACAATCTTGAAGGTCCCAAAGTCTATTAGAGAACATTATCTTAACATATATTCAATCTAATACCTAGCTTTGTGGAGCATGTGGCTGGTTTTTCTTATCTGAGGATCTGAACTCCACAACTAAAGGTGCCCATACACTCTGCGATTATCCTTATTTTTTTTGTGCCGTCATTGAACCCTCATACGTTTTCCGCTCTAATACCCCATCATACACATATCAATGTCTATTGCGAAAATCGTTAGCAATACTAACTCACCAAGGAAATTCATCCAGGAGTACAGTCAAAAAAAATCATTGGGTTCCCATCAACTGATCGATTTCTTTTTTGAATAACCATTCGTGGGCGATTTCTGAACGATAATCGATAGGTGTATGGGCACCTTAAGATGGGAAAAAATCAATTTGCTCCACAAAGCTGGGCTTTATGGAAGAATGATGAGAAGAAAGCCATAGATTAACAAAATCTGTTTAGAGCCCCATTTAGAGATTGCCAGAAGACATGTAGGAGACCCCGCAAACCTGTAGAAAAAAGCTGTGTGAAGTTGGCACCCCATGTTTGTAAAACCTGAATAAAAATATACCATTCGTTTGTGCTGATTTGTGCCAACATCACACAGCTGTAGAAAAAGGTTCTCCACGACCATAGCTGAAATTGTTTGGCTTTAATACGGATCACTATCCGCCTGATTCACTAGACAAGTTCTCATGTGGAATAGTGCCTGCAGTTTTCGCACGCACTAGTATGATGGGAAGTCTTGCATATTCCTGCCACTACAGTTTGCAAACCTTTTTTTCATGCAAACTGGCCTATGCGTTCACACTTCATGTATGTAAAGGCCAGAACTTGTGCCAAGTAAATCGATGACAGGGGGGAGAGTGTTCTGGAGGGACAAGAAAGCTGTTGGGAGCTATGATAAAGGATATCCTGTAAAACCTACCAAATGTAGCAAAATATAAAACAAAGCATTTTTGGAGCATTGATGATGTTGAGTACCGTCTGTCTGTGATGCGTATTTGATTTTTCACTAACTGTTACATTTTCAGGACAAGATTTCCTTCCCAGTCCAAGCAGTACTGATACACATAGCTTTAACAAAATCTTCGGAATAACAATCCCTGCAGAAAATGCACATAATGCAGGGTAATAAAAGTGAAAAAGTTAGAAGCCAGATAAGGAGAAGGGAGTAGGAAAGGGATGAGTCAGACAGAAATGGTCATAAAAAAGTAACACTCATGAAAGCTTGTCCTGAAAATCTTTTAACTCTTCGTGCAAATAACAAGTTTGGCAGGACCTTTGTTGCAAGTGCACTAATATTGCTACAATTGCTTTGAACACAGATGACTGGAACATAAGGTTTTACATTTTGCTAACCAAAAAAGATGCATGTTCATGCTGCATAGACCACCCTATTCAGCTTGGACTGCGTCAAGTTTAACGGCCACAAAAAGTTACACCTATAGTTTGGAGATTAGACACATTTGTGTGTGTATATCATGGTCAACTAGGAAAACTTATCAAGGATCCAGCATTGTGGCTGCTGAAACTTTTCCAATACTTCCAGGAAAGGTTCCATCTTGGTAATCAGCAGGTAAATATCAGCAAGATAGAAAGTGTAATGTCTCAATTTCCTACTTAAACAGTCACTTTAAGGGTGCCCACACACCTTGCGATAATCGTACGATAACCGTGGGAAATCCCACGATCGTACGATTAGCGTAAGCTGTGTGGAAGCCGTGCGACCTCTACTACTGTAAGGTCGCACGACTTTTAACTTACGAACATGTTCGAAAACCCGCCGAGCATCGTACGATGTTCGGCGGGTGTGTAGCATGTTCGTAAGATAAAAGCCGAACGGGCCGGTGTGCGCAAGCGCACACTGCCTGTTCGGCATTGCGGTCATCGGAAGCCCGCCCCTCAGGGGGGGCGTGGCTTGCACAATGTTCCGGAGGGCTTGGCAGCGAAAGGGTTAAAGGCCTTGTTCACACCAAATGCAGATCCGGTCAGGTTTCTGCACACGCACGCTAGTCTTTTAGACATGTTTTTTTGACGCGTTTTTGATGCGTTCCAGGCATCTGCATGCGTTTGTGATGCGTTCCAGAGCAGGTAACAAAAACTGCAGCAGGCCCTATTTTACCTGCTCTGGATCTGCACGCTGCAATGTGAACTGGAGATCAAAATACCATTGGAATACATTGGACGCAGTTTTGATCCGGTCTGCACCTGCTCTGGATCTGCTCCGCACTTGTGTGAACTAGCCCTTAAACTGCTTGAGTCGGCTGCAAAATGCACATGGTGTATATGCACTTAATGCACACAAGTGCGTTGCTTATCACATGATCCGAGGATAATTTTCTTCTGAATTGGGATTTATTTGGGGCGGGCGAGTTGACCTGTAAAAACAAACTGAAATAAGATATGCAAGTGTGTGTGTGTGTGTGTGTGTGTGTGTGTGTGTGTGTGTGTGTTGTGTGTACCAATATTGTTCTATACCCTAAGACCACCATGCCCACAGTAAAGTTAATCTTTGTCACAATACCTACCAGGAAACGTGTGGTGGCAACCTATGTACTTTGTGCTTTTTTCCCCCTATTTAACACTCAAACTTTTTTTATTCCTTATAAAAAACTTCAGTATTAGTGTTGTGAAATTTATTTTAATTCCAAATTGTAACACTACAAAATGTGGAGCGGATTCTGTGAGAATAAGCTTGTATGCAAAGCCCTAGATATGTTGTATACACATGTGCACTATGTCTATATAAAGGTTTACAAGAATGGACCTTCTTTTATCTCGTTTCTATGCAGGTTATTCGGGAGTCGCTCACTGAGCGGTCTCCAATCTACATGAATTTTCTCCCACTAAATTACTTGATTATGATGTTATCTGAAGTGGAAGATAGAGGTAATTCATTTGTTGCATTATGATCATACAGCAGTGTTGGCAGTTTTAGAAATGTATTCATTTTCATATATTTTGTACCTGTTAAAAAAATATCCAATCAAAATTAACAGTTTATATGTAGATTGGGGCCTAAAATTCAGTTGTGTATAATTTATGTCATGCAAAGCATGCAAGCCAGGTAGTCTAGATAGTCATGTAGACCAGAATAAAATAGTACTGCTTGCCTATTTTTGTATTTCCTATACCCTTCCCTACTATCTACACACAATACATGACTGGCAGGTGTGGTTTCGTCAGATAATGGTAACGTTATGACCTTCATAACTGGGCCACCTTGCAACTTCCCATATTTCTATTCTGATAGGTTCCCTTTAACCTTTTCAATGCTGCAGACGTAACTATTCAACAGCAGTGCAGGCATACAAACCAACTCTGGGTGCAATCGAAGCCGGAGTTTGCAGGCTGTCACCTTTCCATTTGCTGATCTTCCCTAGCTTGCATAAGCCTGGTCTGAGCTTGATCAGCTAAAAATAAATTAGGGGTCTAATAGACCCCTCATGTCACCTGCACTATGCATAGGGTTTTTTTCTGCCCCCTTGTGATGGCAATACAATTATGTTAGAAAAAAGTATGTAGGATGTATGGAGTATGACTATTACACTGGAAGCCGCAGAGGGGGAGAATCTTTGACAAGTAAGACCAGGCGGGGTGGGGCAGATAGGTGGGGGTAATTCTGTTTTGCCAAACTTGACTGGGAAAGTGAAATGACTTTTAATATATTAAAGGAGAACTATGAGGTGAGTGCTTTTCACTCACCTCATAGTTCTAGCCGACCTGTGACAATGAGACTCAGGTCGACTCAGTAGATCGGGAGGTGAGATTGAGCCTAGGGTCACGGGAGGACGCTAGTTTATGTCCTCCCGTTACCCTAAGGAGAACTATGGGGAAAAGCCTTAACCCCATAGTTCTTTTTTAAATTTAAAAAAACACCCAAAAAAAGTTTAGAGCCTCACAAACATCCATATAGGTGTGCACACATATAAGAACGACAATTGTGCCACACATATTGGGTATTGCCAGGCACGCTGAGTTGGAGTGTGTGTGTGTGTGTGTGTGTGTGTGTGTGTGTGTGTGTGTAATAATCTGATTTAACATTCTTAAGAAATGATTTGTAATTTATTTCTCTTTGGTATTCCAGCTTTGAACCCCTTTGAGGAAGATAACATAGACGCTGCATTTCTGGAAGAAATTGCCTTAAAAAGAACAACAGTTCTTCTTGGTCTTCATTAGACTAGATATCGCTCATTCTAAGGACAGCTGCCCAATGCTGCATTCATAGGGGAACACAAACCTATTTCATGTGACCTTGGTTGAATACGATATGTGAAACTGGATGAGCTACAATAGGGCATCTGAAATGTCTCTTGCGTTCTGTTTTATGATGTATATGCTGGAAAACACTGGTTTTATTTCATGAAATGCCATTTTCCTTCATAGGTAATGTTGTATTTTGTAAATGTGAAAAGGCTGCTTTGAAAATGTTTACATACTAAGAATAAGTTTCTCTACAACGGGTTGTTTTGATAGCTTTGTTGGAGCTATGCACAGATCTTCATTTGAGAAAATAGGTTTATAATAATTCATTACATTTGTCATTAACCTTTATAAATGATTCTGTATTTTGTTTAAGACAACCATTTTAAATGCATTTTTCCTATTAAGTCAAGTTTTGAAGTTTCTATATAAGGTGAGTTGTTGGGCTAAATATGTCTAACTAGCTGAAGTCCTCAAGTAGTCACTGAACTTTCTTTAGTCCTCAGATATTTAGAAATACTGCATTCTTTGTCTAACACTTGCAGCACAATGTGTATGTGTACTTCTGACACGGGAAGTTTACTTTTGTGCATATTTACGTATTTTGTCCTTGGCCGCTGTTCTCTAATTTGGATCTTTTGTAATGATAGATAATAATAATTCAGGGAAGTCAACACTTGCATACCTACTGAAACGGCGTCAGTCAGGAAATTCCACCTTTTCTTTATTTTTTACAAATGTGAAAGCATGTCTGCTCAGTCCCATGTTTAATAGAACACAGGTCAGTGTGTACATTTCAGTCACCTGATTTTTTTCAGTTTCTGGTTGATGCTGGAAAGTCAAACCACTGGCCTATTCAAACTACGCGTTGTAGTAACACATGTGAATTTATACAACACTTTACTGTGCTTTAATGCAGACTGCATTAAGACAGACTATTAATTTTAAGTGGGCTGGCAGTGCTTCTTAATGCATCAAAATTCAGACATGACTTTAAGGCAATGCACCGCAATACGCAGCATGTAATTTACAAAGACAAAGGTCAGGTTAAAGTCATATTTTGGTGTGATGGCATTATGCTGTTTACTACATATGGTCATTCTTTGTAAATTGACATCTCTTGCTGTACAGTCACATGCAAAACCACAGAAATTGCATTTCATTTTACATGACATGCTCATAATTCTTCAACAACCCAGCAAGGTATACTCGCCGATCCGCACTCCTTTCTGCTGCAGGAGCACACTCTGATGTCTGAGCTTACCTTTTGGAAGACCTCACTGTATTCCCCAGTTTGACAGTGTTTGGGGCTTTTGATTGTGCTGTCACATGGGGGAGTAGAAATTGTCACCAGCACACCACAAAGATGTACAGCAAAAAGTCCTTTAATGACGGATTGCCCTTCAGTACAAGCGCTTTCAGGGTCTCAGATGTACCCCTGAATGGGGTACTTCTGAGACCCTGAAAGCGCTTGTACTGAATGGCAATCTGTCATTAAAGGACTTTTTGCTGTACATCTTTGTGGTGTGCTGGTGACAATTTCTACTACTTCTATATGTTCACGGTGCCATCTGTGGTCGCTACAAGCACCCGCCTGCTTTGCAGGTTTATTATTTTTCCGGTAAGGAGTGCAGCTTGTTTCCGACTATACAATCACATGGGGAGGTCACATTTTCACTTATATCTAGAAGTCTGACTCCTTTAGTGCAACAGAATGAGGGCGCCAGCAGTGAGAAGGTGGCAAGGGAGCCTGGATGGGTGCATAAACCTTGCTGGATGGGAAATGTGGGCTGTTGGGAGGCACGGACACTTTGCTCTGAGTGGGAGCTGAGCTAGGCGCATAGGTGGAAAAAAACTAAAGAGAAACTTAACCATGTTGGGTTTTTTCTCTTTTGGTGCCATATATTTTAAGGTGCACCCCATGCAAAAACACCAAAAAGTAGGTTTTCCCCTTCAAATCAAAGTTCCATTTTCTCATCAAGATTCCCCCCTTCTCATCAGAATGGCTAATGTTTGGCATAGGGAATAAATGGCACTTTCAATTTAATTTAAAAAAAAAAATATTGACCCTTCCATTAGTGGCAGACAAGTTTGGAAAATAATGGTATAGATCACAAAAATGTTAATAAAAATTGAATCCATGTATTATGTAATTTTCTTATGTTTTAGTGGGATACTGTAGTAGGATTGAATAAACGAGTGCTAGTGTGATATGAGTGCTGTATCAGCACAACAAAGTGAGCTATTAGATAATTGGCAAGGATGTGTAAAAGTGTTAAAATGAAGTATTCTTGTTACTAATGGCAACCAATGTTTTGTTTCTTAAACCTGCACCAGATAATGTTGGTTAGAAGCTGGTTGTTTATGAACAAGAACAGTTCTCTTTAGAACACTTTTATGGCCACAATGGGGCAAATGTATGGAACTGTAAGGACATTCAGCCCATACTTCTAATACTGACACCCAGGTTCGAAGTGTTGTATAACACTTTATATGTGCCTCAATGTCTTCATGTACTACACTTGTAGTGGAGATATCCTCCTTAGAACATATGAAATTTCACACATATTCTGGATCACAGAAGTGCTCCCTTTTTACTACTCACAGTGGATGTAAAAGGTTTCCCTGCCATGACATATATGTATAAAGATGTACAGGGGCACTCATTCTACATCTGTCCATACCACTCCCTAATGTTAGATTTCAATTGGCTTTATCATTGGCTTTCTAATGTGCCGCATGTTTGAGCCTGGCTCACTGGGCTTAAAAGGTGCCAGAGCTCCATAAGGTCGGGGAAGAGGAAGAACATTTTCATCTTCGGGTATGTATGCATTAGGGCGCTGCTCTGCTGTGGTGAGGGTTCCATTTGGCAACGCATGTTGTTGTTCCTCTTCTTGAATCTGTAAAAGATGTTTGCAGCCATTAGCGAATAATATTTGGTTGGAATTTTAAAGACTGACACTTTACGGCATCAGGTGATACACAAGACCTTAAGCATTTCTAGGATTGATGTCATACGTAAGTCTAGATCAACAAGCCTGGAAAGCAATGCTTTGGATATTGTGCGCCTGGTATTTAAAATCATTTTGAAATTGTTTAAAAAAGAACAAAAAAAAAGTTTTGTAATTTTATACATGAAATGCTTGTTAAAAATAAAATTCATCATGCAAAATTAGTCTGTTTTGTGTAAGACTGTCGGCATAATAAACACGGGTCATTTAATAGGCTACATTTTCCCTGCAAAGAGTAGTGCTGAACTTGGTTTTCAGCTGTAAACCTGTGATGGGGGAGGGAGAGATGGGTGGGGATATATATAGATATATATATATCTATCTATATAGATAGATAGATAGATATATATTAGGGGGGATTTTTTTTTTTTAAAGCGATTGCAACAGTTTTAGCCTCTTGGATCATCATTATTATTTTATGTGCAAATCTGTCTTTTTACATGTGCGCCTGTTTTTCACCAGAGCTTGCACTACTTTTCCAGCTGCACGTGTTTTGCACTGTTGACTTGAGCTTGCACTATTTCAGTTGCACATTTTTTGCGCCTGTTTTCATCTGCACTTGTTCTGGGCTGTCTGAAACTGGGGCATCACCTAACAAAACAATCACAACTTAAGAAGTCCCCGTGACCACTTCTTCAAGAAGTGACGGTTAAGCTTTTTGCCTGGAGTTACGAGTCTTCTTTCCTGGAGTCTATTAAACCTCATTTATGAACAACATTACATTAGCATCATAAATCTGGTGCAAATATATTCCGTGCAAGTTCAAACACTCGCAATTGCTATGATAAATTCCCCCATTATATTTATTAAACTCTATCACTGATATATTTCTTCCAAGAGCTTTTCTGCAATGTTCTGGCATTGAATCCACCTCTTTCAATATATGAAGAGCAACCAGGCAAGGTTGCCCTTTGTCCCCTTTACTCTTTGTTCTAGCAATAGAACCCCTAGCGGCAGCCCAACTTATTTGCCTAAACCCTAACCTAACAGCCCTTGCTGTGTGGGAACCTTAACCATGACTACAATAGTTGTACAACACCACCAGGCTGCCACTTGTGCAACACGCACACATTTAGCCTTTGCCAATACCGCCTTACCCATCCCACCCCATCTATCTTTTTGTCTTGCAACATTGTTGGATTTGTACACATTATAACTATTTTTATTTTCTTATTTCCCTTTTGTAAATAAACAATCAAACAAAAATCCTGATATTTCTGCATAGACGAGACATTCCTATGCAATGCTGGCTACCTGAGCAGTCAATGAAAGGCTCTCGTATACTCTCAGATAATGATCTTTAGGGTTCGGTAAGTGCTTGTCTAGGATCTCCGTGGAGGCTGTAGTGGGGTTTGGGGCATCAGACAGACAAGCAAGGTAAGTTAAGGTGGCAAAAGGTACTGCTATACATCAGGGAGTATTTTAGCGCCATAAACACCACATGGTGATTTACTGAAGTGAAATGAACTCGTGTTCTGGTCAAACATCAGCTACAGGGTTTAAAAAAGAAAAACCAAACACATTGTGTGTGATTTTACATTTCAATCAAATATAGGTAAATTTTACTTTAGTAAAGTGCCTCCTATATGTTCCTTGTGTAAACATGTAGCAACTGATTAAAACCTATAGGACAGGGGTGCCCATAAGGTCGATCGCGATCTACCAGTCGATCGCGCAGCGATCACTGGTAGATCGCGATGTCCTGTCTTCTCTGGATCCCCGCTGCTCTCCCTCATCTGCATGCAGCGGGGATCCGAGGAAAAGTGAAGCTGCAGTCGGCGGCGCGGGACGGAGCCGCTATCACAGCAGCACGCCGAGCGGTGAGGAGAGAGCCGCTCAGCTTGGATCTGACAGCCGGCGGCTCTCTCTCTCCTCACTGCACATGCTGCTGTTACAGTGGCTCCGTCATCCGTCATCTGTATGTGTCCCCAGTTATGAATGAACACGATGTGATTTACATCACTTCCTGTTCATTCATGAGATTCTCAATGGGGAGAAGCGCTCGGTACAGAGGCTCCTCCCCATTCAGAAACTGGTGATAGTAAATATTTTCTGAATGAATGGGAAGCCTCTGTGCTTTCCATTCATTTAGAACAGAGGCTGCAGAAAAAGAGATTGAGGACTTTGTGGCTTCAATTTCTTTTTCTATTTTAAAAGGGAAATATCAGGGGGCTGTTTAGACCCCTAATATTTCCCCGAAGCCCCCCCAACAGTAAAAAAAAATATTAAAATTTAAAAAATTTAAATTAAATAAGAAATAATACAAAAAACATAACAAATAGTAAAAAATAAAATAAAAAATCCTGGAGGCAGGGCGCTGCCTCCAGGGGCCTGTTGGGGTCACACGCCTGTTGGGGGGGCACTTTTTTTTTCTTGCCACGTGTGCAAAAGGAGCTGGCTACTGCTATGCTCCTGCGGTGCTCGTGCGGCTGCCGGCTGAATGTGTCAGACGCAGCAGACAGGGGCGGGACACCTCTCCCCGTGTGCAACTTCGGCCACACAAGCACTGCGGGAGGATAGGACGCCCGCGTCTCTAGAACGCACTGGAATGCCGTGGGGTTGCACCACAGCCATGTGCCCCGCCCACAGTTTGATCACCCGCACATTAGGCACATTAGTGCCTGCATTCCGGTGCAGCATTTTTGTGGAACGCAGGCACTAATGTGTCTGGGTTCCGGGTGCAGGCAATCGCACTGTGGGTGAGGGCCCTGGCTGCGGTGCCATTGACTTTAATGCCACGCCCCCTCCCGCCCCTGAACGCAGGTGTTTTTTCATTGCTAGATCTCATTGAGCTCGTTATTTGAAAAGTAGATCTCCAGGCGAAAAATTGTGGGCACCCCTACTATAGGACATAAAGTTCCTGTTGCAGCAAATCACACCATTGTTTCATCTGTTGTTGCCATGCTACGATCACTGCAGCTGGCAACAGGCTAAATAACTCTTATCCTTCCATATTTTACAATGACTAAACTGTGATGTACTTAAAAGAAGAAAAGCCATTTTTTGGATGGTGGGGGCTTTACTTCTCTTTTGGGTCACAGGAGTACATTTTCTAATGCACTCCTATGACCCAAAGTCAGCATATAGTGGCAGTAGCCACGCTACAGCTGGGAAGGATCCTGACAGTTGGGATCCACCCAGCTGCATGATTGACAACTGGCTCTGCCGATCCAGAGCCAGCTTTGTCCATCCCTCCAATGAGTGCTAGGGGAACAGAGGAGAGGGGGAAATCCCTGCGGGGAGTGGTGACTCACCATGATGGAGACTGTGTGCTGAGCGTTCAGCGGTTACATGATTTCTCAGCTCTTGGTATATAGAGCTGGCGTCCTGCCAGCTGCAGTGTCACATGCTGGCTCTAAGTATTGTACTTGATTGGATATAAATTGAATGGATTGTTAACTTAAGTCACTTGGCATTTTAGTAACAGTAAAGGGTATTGTACAGTGGGATTGTAATGTGGATGGCCAAATGTAAACAAATGAAAAGCTTTCAGACTTCCCTGAGTTCACTACCTATTCTTTTGAGGCTGATATATACAATGTATTCCTGGCAGTTACAATCAGGGTGATTCCAGCAGTGTTTGGATCACTCATGACTGTTACCGAAGCACAAATGTTCCTTAATGACTTAGATTGCTGAATTCCATATGCTGGCAGCCTATTATTAAACCCCTTACCTTTGTTTTCTCTAGTCTTTCAAGTTGGTGTCTACGTTCATCACGCACCAAGCGCTTCCATTCTTGCTCGGTTTCCTCGCTAGGTGGTAACCCTTGTTCCATCCTTGCATAGCATGTCTCAACAAACTTATCTTTATCTCTAACTTCTTGTTGTAGCTTTATACAGTTGGCTTGCTGCATAGATAACTCTGCAATGCGGGACATCATTTTACGAGTCGTGTCTTTAATCTTGTTTTGCAGTTCATTCCTCTGCCAAAATAAAAATGAAAAAAACATAGGACCATAAGGCAACATTACAAGATGATGCTGGCTTGGCCCTCCACTGTGCTTGGTTCATATGGATTGATTTTTCTCACAATAGGAATAATATAAGTAAATTGGGATTTTTTTTTTTATGTAGACCAATTCACAGTGTAAAGGTGCCCATAAACCTTACAACCATCGCAAGACCTTTGTCTTGCGATGGTTGTAAGCTAATTAAAAGCTCGTACGAACTGCCCATGTTGGACAGGCAGATCGTACTTGCGATCATCGGGCTGTTGATGACTGCAATGCTGAACGGGCAGTGTGCGCTTGCGCACACCGGCCCGTTCGGCATTTGTCTCCCGAGCATGCCACAAACCCACTGACAATCGTAAGATTTTCGGCTGGTTTTCAAACATGCTCGTTAGACAAAAGACGTGTGACCTTACAGTAGGAACGGTCGCATGCCTTCCATACACCTTGCAATTATCGTACGATCGCTGGATTTCCCGCCATTATCGTACGATAATCGCAAGGTGTATGGGCACCTTTAGAGTAGTACTCTCTAAATCTTGGGTAAAAAAAAAGGCTGATTATCATTACAGACCTTTTTGGCACAAGCTAGGGTGTCTTCTTTGCCATTTTCAGCTTTGATACGTATCCTCTCTGCTAGCTTAGAGACTTGCTCGTAGAGGAAATCCTTTTCCAGCAAATGTTCCTCCTTCTCAGCCAGGTGCAGCTCAAGCTGTATTGAATGCACATACATATAAATCAGACACCTGTTCCTTTAATGACGACGGAGAGAAGTATCTTCGAAGAGTCACTCTTCACATAGACCAATCATTAGGGGGGGCACATGGAGGTCTACATACATAAATGTCTAGAAAGAACAGCAATGCAGTATGTACCTAAAGTTTGTAAAGTTCACTACAGCACTGACTGGTGTGACTGGTAAATAGAGTAGTCAGGCCAAGTCCCTGGAGGTGTATGAGATGTAATGGATATTCTGTTTTTTGAAAAAGTATAGAATGAGATGGAGTATGTACACCTTAACAATCAACTACTAATTTTCTCCCCTTTGGTCTATTAACTCGTATAACAAAATGCTTTCACTGTTCATGTTCAATAAGTGCAAAAAATGTCTGACAAAAATCTAGGGAGCTGTTCACTTCCTGCTGCACTTTTAATACTTCGAATTGTTCCCTGTCCTCTGTGTGAATGCATGTTTGGGCTTTATCTCCTGAGTTTAGTGTTACTTTTAACTAAGGGCAAATGTAACCAAATGCAATTTAAAAGTAATACAAACTCTTTCCACAGTTAGCGGAGTCCAAACAACAGCATGCAGTTATTGTAATGTACCAGACATGCCATTTATGAACATACACAAGAAGCTGGAACTCGATATCGGCTTCCCAAACTAGAAAAACTCATGCAAAATCTACTCATCTCTGATGTTTAATATTGATATCTTTTCTATATTTACATTGCATATTGTTTGCTGAAATACTAAAGGCGCTTTCTAATGGAGTACTCCCTTTTACTGAAGGTAAAACCTCTTTTAACATGTGGGTTGTGTCATGCAACAGTCCCCTGTAACCTGCACCATTTAATCCTACTACTGGGTGAGAGACAAAGGGCTAAGCATTTCAGTCTGCAAGTGTAGCGTATAATCCAGTGGTAGGCAACCTTGGCACTTCAGCCCTAGCGAAACTACAACTCCCATGAGGCATTGCAAAATGACAATCGGATGAAGACGCCCAAAGACAGAGGCAGGATAGGATTGGTAGTTTTAACACCGCTGGAGTGCCCAGTTTGCCTATCCCTGGTGCAATTGTATGATGCCAGACAGACCTTGCTGGCTAAAGAGTTATTCTTTTTTAAATGAAAGTATAACATGCCCTTTAAACCATACCCATGGCACACACTTATGGGATCTAATTCCATACAGAAACGGTATAGTGAAAATACATTTAAGATTGCTTTCATCTCTTTTTGGTGCACCCTTCCTGAGAACTGCAATACCAGGTCAATGCGTGGAGTGGTCATAACAAGATCATCTTCCATCTCCCTGTTCTAAAAATCCATATAATATATAATCTCCAGATCGGACCCGTATAAAATATTAAACTGATCAGAACACCTGGTCTTAGACAAAAGGCCAAGAAGCGATGGGGTTGGCTTTTCTTTTTATACTCACCACCTCTGTTTTCTTCAAAAGCTCTTGCTGTGATAGGTCCTTTCCTTCTACTATACGAATCCTGCTAGTTTTCTCTGGATCTTCTGCTTGTGTTTCCAGGTCATTTAATCTGTCGTTACACTGGGAAAGCTGCTCAATAACAAACAAAAAATGAATTCAAAGTACACAACTTGCTGGGGAGCATATTCAAGTAAGAGTACATTTACTTTGCAAAGAATACCCAATCATGTGCAAGGAAAATAAGAAAAAATTTAATTTTTGTTTGCACATGATTGGATGATGGAAGTCCTGCAGAGATTTACCATATTCATTAAGCTAAGGGGGAAAAAAAAAATCCCTTTTTAAAGTCAATGGCCTATTTGCCTTTAGTAAATCAACCCTATTTCTCAATGCCATTTTTGCTATATAAACAAATGTGAAAAACAAATTCAGTAAAATCTATCGTAGAGATTAGATCTGGACAATGGTATAGACTTTTTGCTCCCTTTTCCTGAAAATGTCCTATATATTTACTCCACCCTAAGCCTGGCATAACCCATTACTTTCAAAGGATGGTCACTGCAGAATGTATTTAATTTATTTACTTTATTTTTTTTGCTACAGATCATAATTTGTTTTTACTTTTGCCAGTTTGTCTACTTTTCACCAATTGTTTTCCACTTACCAGATTAAAATTTAAACTGGAATATTGTATCAAGCCATTATTCTGACAATCTCTGTACATAAACCCTAAAGTCTCAATCCATGTTGTGGCAAAGCCAGCGAAGCTGGAAATGTTTCCTTTAGAATATGAAATGGCTAGAAGCCTAATAAGTGTGGAAATATTCAAGAGGAAGAACATGGAATACAGAATGGTTCTTGTCTAGTGGTATTTTTCATCTTTGGGGAGAATGTCCAATGACTGTGATCTCTTTCATACTGAAATAATAAAAGAGTTTAAAAAAGAAAGCAGAGGAAAATTTGTCAAATGTACTTACAAACATTCTTTATTAGGCTATTTCTGAACAGTTGAAAGGTAATCCACAGAGTTCAGAAAGGCAAGCAAGGCAACTAGAAATCAAGAGTGCCAAAGTTATTTATGTCTTATATGGAGATTCAAGATGTACAGGGTTATTCACAAACGGGTGAAGGGTTCGGAGAAGGCAGAAGAAGTGAACAATCTAGGACAACATAGCTGATTTGGAAAAATTCTCCAATTCACCTCACTTTCCAGTTCAGCTATGTTGTCCTAGATTGTTCACTTCTCCTGCCTTCTCCAAACTCTTCACTCTTTTGTGAATAACCCTGTTAGTCTACTTTTTTTACTACCGTATATACTCGAGTATAAGCCGTCCCGAATATAAGCCGAGGCACCTAATTTTACCACAAAAAACTGGGAAAAAGTATTGACCCGAATATAAGCCGAGGGTGGGAAATGAGGCAGCTAATGGTAGATAGATACCAATAAAATTACATGAATATTTATTTAAAAGAAAAACAATAACCTAGCTCTGTAAGTGGAAAAGGGGGTACAGGGCTACATATTATGTACTACGGATCATTTAACCCAACCTAAATTAGGACCCGGAGACTGCCAGATGACCCCGCTCGGAGAGCCGCCCACCGGAGCAGCAGTGTCGCGATGCTAGGCGAGGTAAGTAAGAAGAAACCTGACCACTGGACCACGCTGACTCGAGTATAAGCCGAGGAGGGCACTTTTCAGCAAAAAAAAAATGGGCTGAAAGGAAGCCCACACCCCCGATCAGTGTGTCAAGTTTGTACGGAGGTAAGCACCTGCTGTTCTGGGGCTGGGAAAGTGAAGCTGGACTAGAGGGGGAGGAGGGATTGCAGCCATGCTCTGCATAGTCCGCTTGGGATCGGGAGGAGCATTGCAGTTTGAGGGTGGAAAGCTGGGGAATGCACTGATTAATCATATTACACCCTAAATATGGGTGGAACTTCAAGCATGGTCTAAAACCTGGACTGGGCCTTTAACAAACCAAACAGATTCTAACATTTTCAAATTCAAGTTAATTGCCCTCTGTGTCCCCTTTAGGGAGATTTACTCTACACATTTGTCCTGATCACCATGTCACCAGGAATGAATGGGATGGGTAAATCCAAAATTTTGAGTTGCCACCAGAACAGGAATAAAATAAAAATCTTCCAATGGGGGCAATTGTTGCCATGACAGAGGGGATTTTCCATAGTTTAAAAAGATACTCTCTCACTTCTTGTTGAGTCTACAAGACAGCAAGTGAAGGGAAATCTTCCTACTGTGACACAGTTTGGGGATAACAATTGATTTAAAGTCGTACGTTTTACGTTTAAAGTTTACATATATACAAAACTTTTTTCTTAGTTTTGGATAGTGTGAGGACTTAGACCCACTGTCAAACATTTTTGCTGTTGGTGTGCCTGTTTGGGAGATTCACTCCTTTATTTGCAGTGGTAGTTGCTGTCATTAAGACAAAAATTGAGGGGAAATCATTTAACATTAGAGTTATCAGAGCAATAGGTTAGGGTATATCATCCAATGGGGACAATTTTTCTAGTGACAACTATCTAAAATAGAAATTCCTCACACTTTGGTGACATTTTATATCATTTTCTGTTGCGTTTGCAGGGCAGGAAATAAAGGGAAATCTTTCCCGTGGGATACAGACAACAACAAAAAAAACCTGGTAGGGGTTTTAACACTAATACTCTACCCTCTTGCCCAGGCATGTCAAACTGGTATTTGATGGGCTGCATGTAGGTTCTTTTGTTCCTTCTCTGTGGCCCCCAGTGGTTTAACCCCTTCATGACTGAGCTAGTTTTCAGTTTCTGTTCATAAATGACTGACACACTTTTTACATTTTTGCTGTGTGGTTCTTCCACAGCAGTAATATACTTTCTTACTAAATGTACCCACACATATTATATATAGTTTTTTATAGGACAGATAGGGCTATATAATTATATCACATATGTGTACCTAACCCCTCACTTTGAATAAAATAAAAAAATGAGGAAAAAAACTAGAAGAAAACACTTTTTTCACAAGTTTTGATTATTATTTTAGAGTTTTTTTATATTATAGTATAAAAAATAAATTTATATATCATTCTAGTCCTCTCAGTTGGCACACTGTTGAGTCTGACATGCCTGTTTTAGCCTGACATAGTTACATATACTGTATATAGTTACATAGTCAGGTTGAAAAAAGGCACGTCAAGTTCGAGTGCAACCTACAGAGAGAAGAAAAACCACCAAGCACACTATATGGACCATTTATATATCTATATATCTTTATCATATCCCCCATTAATTGCCTCTTCTCCAGAGAGAACAAATTCAGTTCAGCTAATCTTTCCACACTCTTTCCCCCTCATACGACAGGACACAAGTGTTTGAGGTCAGGCAGCTGACAGGACAACAACAGTCAGCTTTCAAGTGACCTCTACCTGCCTTAGCCACAGCAGTTCCTTTATTTTTGTCATAGTTCTATCGATATGTTTAATCGAGGAATGTCTAAATACTGGTCTCACTGACCTGGATCTGGACCGTCACTAGATCCGATTCCAGATTCCTCTTATTTGGTAGCTCTTTCTTGACTTGTTCAATCTGTCTCTTCTTTTCTACGGCTTTCATCTTTAGGAAGCGGATCTTTTCATCTTGTTCCATCATCTTGATGTCTCCATTCCGAAGTATCATTTCCTGTGTATTTATCTTCTCATAGAAGATGCAGACCTCTTCCTCTCGCTCAATTAACTGCACCCCCCTGACAGGCAGCAACAAAGAAATTGTGTTGCAATAAGATATATCTTGGGCCCCAGGTATCACAGTAAAGTGTTAGGAACTGGTGTTACTTCCACAGAACCACCAATTAGATTCACACTTTCAGATTTAAATTGTCATTTTCCAGGGCAGTTTGAAACTGACTTTTTAAAAAAAATCACTGACACTTTCATACATCACAATATATTTGGTTTTGTTTAGGAAAGCAAATAATAATAAAAAAACAAAAACAGATCTAACAGATTGCAAATCCCTCTCCCCCATTATTTATTTTACTGCCACGGATGTTAAGGTCATGTCAGAACAGAACTGCTTATAGGAGGCCAGCTCAGTAGTGTAGGGACAGCAAGAGTTAAAATATATTCTGAACTATGTTTATAAGCTTATGTTATGTCTGCTGCATTTTCTAAGTCTGCAAGCTAATGCTTGCATTACTAACCATGAAGTGGTGCCTGAGATTTTGCTCTCGTGCATGGATGTGATCAGCAGACGAGAAGCTGCCAATCACATCTACAAAATGTGTGGGTGTGGCCGCTTCTGTGCCAAGCTATGTGGATGTGGTCAGGCAGCCGTATGCACCCAGTGTCCCTCTCCACCCCTTTCCTCTTCCTGTGATTCCCCCCTGGTGCTCCAAGTGGTACTTGCCTGTCTACATTGGTTCCCCATGGAACAGGAATTGATGCTTCATTTGTCATCCTGCAAGCACACTGATGTCTTTAAACAAATGTTTTGTTTAACCCCTTATTAAGTCTTAGTTAACTTTAATCAGCCCCAATTAACGCCTCCCCCTTCTCTTAGTTTTAATTTTTCTGCTGATTTTTTTAAACAAATAATGTTTAAAAAAAATGCTCTTTTATTTGATGTATGTCATATTAACATGTGTGCTCCATTTCAAATCAGCCCCTTATTGCACTACACACATTACACATTACACAATGCACCATGGTACATGCATGGGCTTAATTTTAGTATAATGCCAAACAGAGGAAGCAGTAAGGATCCCTTTATGTATATCCAGTGCATTGCAGTGCGTCACCGCATGCACGTTAGGTGAGCTGTCATGCCCTCTCATGGTTAAAGTAGAACAATGAGATGAGTGAAAATCATTCATCCTCACAGTCCATGCCGACATGTGACAATGAAACTGTCAGACGTCGGTTTAATAGATCGGGAAGTGAGCAAACGCATACCGTTGCTCACTTACTTCCCAATCATCTCCCTGCAGAGAGCAGTGACTGTCAATCACCCCTCCCTGCAGGGATTACTCCCTCCCCACTCCGATCCTCCAGCGCTGACTGGAGGAACGGATGGGGAGGGAGCGGGTACAGGTGGCTCTGCCTCTAGATAGGCCGAGCCAACTGTCATTCACACAGCTTGGTGGATCTCGACAGCATTTTTTGGGATCCGTCCCGGCTGCGGCTGTCTCCGTATACCGCGAGTTGTAGATCGCGATACACTGAGCTTTGGGTCACGGGAGGATGCTAGTATATGTCCTCCCGTGACCCTTAAGAGAATTATGGGGAAAAACACTTACCCCATAGTTCTCTTTTAAGTTAGATTAAAGGATATTGTGTTTGTGTAATATATAATATATATAGCAAAATAGTTTTGATAAACAATTGCACAGCTATCATGGGACATACAAATTCTGTAGAACTAT